TTTAAAAGTGATAAAGACATCTTCTACAAGTGTACTCATATGAGGAGGTTGAGCGCAAATGGATTTAAATAGAGTTTGTGCATCACTTTCTACGGTAATATATTGACTACCTTTAAGTGTGTTATTTTTAATTTAAATATTGATACTAACATCTCAGCAATGTTAATTAAAGTCATAATAAAGGTTTCTTGAAGTTTTTATAAGTACAGTTATTTTATTTTAAACTTTATAAATAATATCAAAGTCAGTGTGCTCGTTTCGAATAAAGGCATTAGAAGTTAATTCGTGTACATTATGTAGTGGTAGATTTTATTCCAAAAAAAAAAAGTACTTGAGTTACGTGTTTATGTAACGTAGTGGTAGATTTTATTCCAAAAAAAAAAGTACTTGAGTTACGTGTTTATGTAACTCTGTTTATACATATTATCGAACTCAAAAAATTATAAAACTAGTAAAAGATGATCAATTTTAATTTCTTAGTGAACTTATTAATTTTAATTTTATCATAGATATACTTGATAGATATACCTGAAAGGGTGACATACTAGTTTATTTTATACTTACTCTACAATACTTACAATTTTTTTTTTAAATTTTAAAAAATATTACAATTTCTCTACAACAACAAATATTTGAATATAATTTTTAATTTTTTTAATGTATTTCAAAAGAAAAAATTAGCAAAAAGTTATTTCAAAAGAAAAAAGATTAAAAAAATGTTTGAATATAACGAGAATATGGTAATAAATAAAAATTAAAAATAAGAGGGAATTCGCTCGAGCTATAATGCCTTGAGCATCACTTTTTTTGGACCTTTTTGTCTAAATCAAAGCTCAATTTTATTATTTGAACATTAAATAACCATATGATTATAATAATCTTATCATATGTTTTATTATATTGAATAAATTAATACCCTTTACAATTTTATTAATTTATATAGTATGATAATTTTTAGTAAAAAATTAAAGTTAATTATAATTTTTATATCTCAAATATTATATACGTAGAAATTGATTATAATTTACACATTTTATACATAATTGAATTAACGTTGTTTATATTATCAATTCCACAATCATGAATTTGTAGTTTTATTTATTATAAATGAAAAACATAAATAACTGAGTTTAAATTAAACTTATAATTTACTGAATTTAAAATATAATTTTTAGTTAAATTTATATCTATTATAAATTTTTTTAAAAAAAGAAAAAAAACTATTAATTGCGCAATTAACCCAATTTTTATTCGACGGGCTAAAAACAAGAGAGCTTAGACTTCCACCGTTTTTTTTTTTTTTTTGTAAGAAAGATTTTTTTATTTCGAAGCGCAGACAGCCACAAGAGAAAGAGAGAGAAAGGAGAGAGTTGTTTGAGCTCTTCCATGGCGGCCACTAGTAGAGCTTTCGTTCTGTCTCGCTTCACTGACGTACCATCCAAGAAGCTCCTCCACCCTCCCCATCCTCCGCCGGCTTTGCCTCACCGATTGTGCAGACGGCGTACGGGCGTTAACGTGGCGACCGTCACGAGTTGCCTGAGCAGCGGTGGGGTTTCCGATGACTATTTCGTGTCCACCCGAAAGATCGGATTAGATAGGGGGTTTGCGGTGATTGCCAACATGCTGCGGCGGATCGAGCCCTTGGATACTTCAATAATCTCCAAGGGAGTCTCGGATTCGGCCAAGGACTCCATGAAGCAGACCATCTCCTCCATGCTCGGCCTCCTTCCTTCTGACCAATTTTCCGTCTCCGTTACCGTCTCTGAGCAGCCCCTTCATCGCCTTCTTATCTCATCTATCATCACTGGGTAAAAAATAGAATTCAATAATACTCACAGAGTTGATAATTGAAGAAAAGACTCGATTTATCAAATTCAATTTTTGCTTTATTTATCTTTTATTGTGTGTATGTGTTCCGGGATAGGTATACGCTGTGGAATGCGGAGTACAGGGTTTCGTTGATCAGGAATTTGGATATACCCGTGCAGCGTGGAGACAAAAGGACGCAGAGAGAAAGTTTCGATTTGAAGGACCGACAGACTGAGAGAGAGAGTGGTATTGAAGAACTGGAGACGATAAGGCCGCAAGTATTCGGGGATTTGTCACCTGAGGCTCTGAATTCTATCCAACGGTTGCAGTCGGAGTTATCTTGTGTCAAGGAGGTAAGCAACTTCAATGCTTTTTCCTATGTTTATTCCCAGTTATTTTTCCCCTTTTACTGGCTTGAACTGGAATGGATGGTAGGGAATGTTGAGAAATGGAGGAGATTCTTTAATTTCTTGATAGGAATCCTGCTTTCCAGATTATGCAGTTTTGTTTTCATCTAATTTCTGGTGCCACTAAGCCGAAAGTGTGACCGGAAAGCTTATATTTCCATTTGTCTGTTAGGAATTAACGTTTCTTGACTTTAAAGAAGCTTGCAAATTTTGGTTTCTTATTAGCCATTTCTTGATGGCTCTCAGAAGTTGATCCATCCACTATCATTTTTGCTCAAAGTATATGTAATTCTTAACTTGTTTATATCTGAGCATAGTGATTTAAACTTTAGCAGGCAGATTTTCTGTTGATTAATATAAATTATTTTTCCATTCTTCGAACTTTGTTGTGCCTATTTACTCCCAGTTTGTAGTTAGTCCCCACTGAGTTACACCATTGCCACTTCAATTGAACTTGGGCTTGTCCTTACTCTGCCGGAAAGTTCTTATTGCATCTTTAGAACCTGATGTATTAAGTTCTTTTTGTTAGCACATTCAATTTAAAAGAAAAGCTTGGTCATTTCTTTTTTTTCTTTTCCTTTTACATAATCCTTACAGAGCACTTAAGAAGATCTGTGGTCCAATCTGTTAGACAAGGCCTCTGAGTATATGGTGATGTTGAATATTTTAATGGTACAGCTCATAGCTTATCAGCATTGTGGCCTGATTATTTTGGACTGTCTGTTTGGGGAACTAGGGAACAGAGTTTAACTTCAGTAATTTAATGTGAAATTTTATGTTATTAATATATGCATTCACTGGTTTGGAGGTTATTTGCATGAATCAATTTGTAATCATGGACGATTTTGGCATGCCATAGGACTATGATGTGTATTTGATTGTATGGTTGGCGATGTTCCTCCTCTTAGAATATCACTATATGTGGTTTCAGGAACTAAATGCACAAAAGCAGGAGAAGAGACGAATGGAGAATGAGAAGAGTAGTAGGAATGATTTATTGGAGTATCTACGGTCCCTGGATCCTGAGTTGGTAAATCTTTTTTTCCTGTGTAAAGAAATATTGTCCGCATTTTTAGATAGCCATATCTCCCAAAATATCTTTGCACTCTTAATTGGTCGACAGGTGTCCGAATTATCCCAACCATCATCATCAGAGGTGGAGGAAATTATCCACCAACTTGTTCATGGTTTGTTACAGAGATTCTTTAAAGACGAGGCTACTTCCAATTTCATGGGAGGATCTGCAATAAGGAGTACGAGGACTGATCATGATGCTGGTGACGAAAGTCGAACTGTTGGCACTTCCAGAGACTACCTTGCTAAGTTGCTTTTCTGGTAAAAGTTTCACTTCAATGTTAAATTTCAGTAGTTATCTCAAAAAAAAAAAAAAGAAAAGTTTAAGTTTCAGTATACATGCTTTTTTATATAATTTAAGAATAGTCTTCCCCACACACACACACACACACACACAAAGGGATCTTTGCATGTTCCTGAATTTGCAAGTCAAATTACACTGCATGATCACATGCGTGCAGCAACAGATGCACATGTAAACAACACAAATCCACAATAAGAACTAAAAAAAAGTATGATTATTTTCCATTCTTGTTAAATAAGATATGGAGTCACTATTTTTCCTTTCAACATTTCTTTTTTTTTTTTTTTTTTGGTTTGTTGTTCTAGCTTGAATTGTACACTAAGGGGTCTCTTTTGTGGTGGCAGGTGCATGTTATTGGGTCATCATTTAAGAGGATTAGAGAACAGATTGCATCTGAGCTGTGTAGTGGGGTTGTTGTGAAGTAAATTTTGGGAGGCATGTAAATTCTTTCCTCCCCCCCCCTACTCTTCTTTCCCCTCACGATCCTTATAATTTTTCTTTCTTCATCTGTAATTTAAATTCAGTTTTTCACTAACATAATTACAAAATTAGTTAATTTATGATGTTTCAAGTTCAGCAGTTTGAATTCTGAATGGCTTTTAAATTAACTATAAAGGTTTCAAGATTTAACTTAAAATCACAGTAGACGACTCCTTGAAATTTAATTATGAATTGGTGGAAGTTCCAGAAGACAAACCGTGAATTTTGAAATTCCTATGATTTTGATTCTTTTCATTTTCAGGTTTATTTTTTTGTTGGTAATTTTATATGAAAATATTAATTTTTAAAGGTTATTTTCTCAAGCGTTTTAGATTTTTGTAATTCTAATTTATTTATCAACTTTTATAAATGTGACCTATGAACAAATATATTCATGTAAATAAAAAAAAAAATGTAGAAAGTAACCAAAAAATAATTACAAGATAATTAAATTGTATAATTATCTTATTCATTCAAAGACAAAGATTCATTTATAAATTCATTCTGCATTCGGTTTGGTGGCACTTGAAAAAATTAAAAAAAACAAACAAAAAACAAAGCCTATACTGACATAGGACAAAAGGTTAAAAAATAATAATAATAATAATAATAAAAGTAAATCTAGCAACAACTCAGGTTATCATCAATGCTGGTATTATACTTTTTCCGGATGCCAATGTTTCTCCCTTTGAACAAGGGAAAAGCAACTTATACAAGACATCTCTGTTTCATCACTGTCTATACATGCACAACATATATATATATATATATAAATATATAGTTGTGAAACTGTAACGAATTAAAGAAGAAAAGAATTAAAAAATTGAATTTTTATCTACCGGAAGAAATTCTACTTTGGTCTATGAAGATCATAAGGCGCCCAAAGATAATCAACAGGGCAAGGCTGATGAGCATCAAGCCTGTCCCATGGCTTCCCTTTCCCACTCCAATGAAGCAAACTCACAGGTCCCGGATGCAATTTCCTGCAACTCCTCACCAAATTATCCCCGCCAAGTCCGTGCTGATTCCATCTCTTATCAATCCCTTCAATCTCCCCACCAAATACCAACAAAAATGGAGGCAATGAACCCAACTGGTAAATCCTCTTTTCCTTCTGAATTCTCATCCAATTCTCAACCCTTTTAGTATAATCACCCTCTCTCCATTTCATCAAATCTATCACCATCACTCCTGTATTGAAATAACATGGACTTTTCCCTCCAAAAACTGAAGATAGTTCTGGGTCTAACCAGAATTCTTCGGTGAAATACTTGCTCAAATCTACATGACAATACTGTGGAGCTCCAATTACTCTTGACCCGGTTAAAGGAATCCTCCATAGCTTCTGAATCTCATCCACTGCCAGCACATCTGAATCTAAATAAATCACGCGCTTTATACAAGGATCCAGTATGTCAGCCAAATAAATTCTTGCGTAGTTAAGCGGGTTGTCCAGAGCTTGTCTTATTGAAGACGAGATTAGATTCGTAACACCGTGTTCTTCAAATTCATAGACCTTGAACCTCAACGAAGGGAATGTAGATCTCATGATCTTGGTCAGTTGAATCGGATGAACTGATCTCGAAGTAGAAGCAATGAAATGGAAGAAGATGTTTTCCGGACACGATGAGTGTTTCAGAACGGAGTGTACTGCTGCTATTGTCCCTCTCAAATACTGCGAATCAAGTGTCATCGCTATGTGAACATGGGTCGGGTCACACGCCATATCCGAACCCGAAATCGGACATTGAGCTTCGTTCTGATACGCCGGTGCTTCACTGAACTTCAAATACCCGTCGTCTTCATTGATGTGAATTGATCTGATTCCTGCAACTGGAAAAACAAGAAGAGAAACCAACAAGATTGTCTGAACAATCCGCCGCATAATCAAAATCATTCTGGGTTGGTGTCGATTTTTGAACGGTGTTTTCTGAAAACAACAATGGAGATATAGATGTACTCTTGTTTTAAGGGCAGAAGAGACGGACCTTCTAGTCAACAATATACATATGGAGACATGTATCTGTATATATATATATACATATGAATAATGATGAATAAACAGGAAACAAAAGTGTTTAACACGTCTTGGTATAATAATAATAAATAATTAAAAAATATTAAATTAATTAACAACAATATAATAAAACGCGGTTGCGAGTTGCGATGGTCAAAGACCGTCGCGTTGACTAAAGACCAGTAGCCAATGGTTGAGCTTCTAAGAAACTACCATGAACATGAACATGAGCATGAGCATGAGCATGGGAGGTTTCAAACTCCAATTACATTGAATATGAAAATAAACACATGATTTGAACTGGGTTTCTCTCATTTCATTTGGGTTTTGTTAAATTTAATGAATTGTGAAATTTAAGGCAATGAATTAAAGGTGATATATTTAATTTCAAAAAAAAAACATACATTTTAATTGTTTTAGGGGGCTAGAAACAAATTAGTTTAGTTCACATAAATATGAATTTTGCACATGGAAATTTTTAATTCACTGCATTTATTTTTCTTCCAAAAAAAAAATAATTGCACCCAATTGTTAAATACATTGTATTAGAAGTACATAGCTAAAATAAGATATTTGTTGCATAATTAATTTGACTTCCCATCTCAAATAAAAAAATATATATATTTAATAAACTACCTCTCTGAGTACAATTTAGAATTTGGGTTTTCATGTTTGATATATAAATTACTTTTATTAACCTAAAATTTAGAAAACATACGTAATTTAATAAAAGCTTGAAAAAGAGTAACTTACCAAATGTCATTTTTTCAAATGCAGGTAAAGCATATTTCTCTTTTTAAGTATATGTATGTATATATATATATATATGTATGTATATATTCTCTTTTCGACTGCTGTGACAGGAATGTGCAACAAATCATTTTCCTTTTTTTTTTTTTTAAATAAAATTTTAGAAAATCTAAAAGATTGAATTAAGAATTAAAACAGATGGAACCAAAAGTTTTAAGTTATTGGTTAACTTCGCTCTCCTTTATAATGAAGAATCTATATATTTAGTTTAACTGATAATTGCACACCCTAATGTACAACACAACTTATGCTATCTACCAAACAATGTTCAAAATATTCTAATTTTGTAACTATAGAATACAAAATGTGTAGATTAAACCTGTGACAACAAATGAACTTAGGTATAAATTTATGAACAAATTACTCATTTTTCCATTAAATTGAAATAAAATTACAATTCATTTTTAAAAATATTTTTCATTTTAATTTAATCAATGAAAGTTTTATAATTACTTTTCTTTAATTTCTTTTAATTATTTCAATATGTTATTTATGAAGAATAATTCAAATAAAATAACAGTTTATTTGTAAGACAAATAACTCAAAGTAAACTTTTACTTGCGAAAAAATACATAATTTTCCCAAACAGCATTCAACAGTGGAAGGAAAAGGCAAAGTAAGCTATATATTATTTGGATATATTTATGCAAATGGCTAAAAAGTCCTGACTTTGGACTAAGCCTTCCATATGTATCTCTTTTGGTCTCTCTTTTGCAAGAACCTCCTTCTCCTCTCCATTTTTTTTCAAACCGGTTCCTCTTTCCCTTTTCATTCTACCCTTCATTCTTTTTCTACAAAAATCCTTTTGTTTTTTTTCATATTCTAATCTATTATAATCTCAACCTTTTATCACATTCAAACAAATGTTCTCACTATTTTATATTTATAGAAGTAAAATAAGAATTATAACATGAAAAGTTTTACATAAAATTTTTAAAAATGTATCAGTTCATCCTATCGATTGGATTTTATTAACAAAAACATTGAGAGTCAAAATTAATATATAAATTAACTGAAACGAATAAACAAAATATCGGTAGATTCACAATTCATACTACTAATTAGGTGACAAGTAACTTTCACGTTATTAATAACTAATTTATTTTTAATAGTTATATTTTTGTCACTTGTCGTATTAACTTTTTAAGAGATACATAATTTTTGTGAACTATTAAACTGAATTTAAACTTCTGAAAAAATGAAATTGCTCCTCTTCTCCTCGTCCTTGCTTTCTTCCCTTATTTTCTTCTTCCCCTGCCCCATTGCCTAGCATGTAACGCCCAATAATTTTAGAATTTTATTATTATTATTATTAATTTTATTTTTTATTTATTTTATTTATTTAGTTTATTTTAATTTAAGTTAATAAAAATAAAAATAACAATAATTGTAAAATTGGGTAAAAATATTATTTGGATTTAATTGAAATTGATTTTGGGAAAAAAAGGTGAAAATTAGGATTCTATGAGTATTTTTGAAAAGAAAATCGGAAACTGGGGGTTAAAACGCAATTTAGAAAAATTGCGCCACGTCAGCAGCCACATCAGCGGGCCAGTCAGCAGCCTTGGCCAACCAGGACCTACCGTGTGGCAAGACCACGTCGACCCAGGAACGGGCCACGTGGGGGATCCGCGTGCGCGCGATCGACCCAGATGCATCCCCGCGCGCACAGACGGCACAGATTTAATAAAAATGGACGGTTGTGATCAAAAGGCAAAAGGGTATAAATAAAACCCCCACACCTGACCACAAAAACCCTAGCCACCTGCCCTTGCCGGAGAAGACAAACCAGACGCCGGAGGAGCCGGCCGCCGCCACCCGCCGCCGCACTGGGGAGTTTTCCGACCGCCGATTGAGGTAAATTTCATACTCCCGGCTCATTTTTCAATGCTGAGTTCCCCTGTGGCCAAATCGGAGCCAAAATCCCGGCCAAACGGCCGGAAAACACGGCCGAAACCCAGCGGCGCCGCCACGCCCCTCCTCGGTTTTTGCCTCCGATGAGGCCCTTTCCAGCCTCCGTTTGATACAATTTTTATATCATCGTGATCACCATTCTTTTCTCTACAGGTTGATTGGAGCCAAAACACCAAAACACGAACCTCGCCGGAGAGCCACCGCATCCGAGAGCACCGCCGCCGGTAAACTTTGGTTTTTCGTAATTTTTTGGTCCCCCGAGGGCCCTAGGGTTGTTTTATTGCAGGGACCGATGCAAGTGTGGCCGAAAACGGTATTTCTTGAATTAACGCATGTGTGAAATTGCTTAAGGTTGCTAATGGAGCCCGAGTCTAGTGTGATTGATGATTTACTGTTATTTGGCCTGTTTTACAGCTTTAAATGCATTATGGGGTTTGATGTGTTCATTTTATAGTTTCGAGTGCATATATTACTGTTTTATTAATTATGGGTTGAATGACTGAAGAACTGATACTGTATGTTGTTTGTTCGGCATGAATTACGATTTGCTTGTTTAAATGTGAATTGATGATGCTTATTGAGAAAAAGGAAAATGAAACATTGTGTAGACTGATAATTGTATGATGGGGTCAGCCTGACTAGATATCTTGGGAGATTGTGGACGGACCGGGTCCGTAGGGAACCCTACCGGGATTGTGGTCTCACATGCCGGACGGGGTATGGAGATCTTATGGTTTTGGCGCCCATACCGGACGGGGTATGGGGACGGCCCGTTTCACCCTCATACCGGACGGGGTATTGAGGTTTATGGTTTTGGCGCCCATACCGGACGGGGTATGGGGACGGCCTTGGAAACTGATTATGAATGTTAAAGGTTAACGGGTAGCGGGACCCCTAGGGACCCCCATGGATACTAGTAGGCTGGTAAATGAGAAAAGGATATGTTGTATAATGATTGAATTACAAAAGGCGTGATAAGTGCTATGTTTTACAGCTTATATTATTCCATGATTGTGATAATGTTATTGTTTTCTTATATTGTTTCATGAATTCCACCGAGGTAAGTGAATGGTAAAGGTTTTATCATAAATAAAAGGATTTGTTGCAAATCATGCTCCATTGGTCTTTTGTGTTTTTCTACCCACCTTTACCTCCGTAACGGTGAGATATCGTGATGTTCTTACTGGGCTAGTGTAGCTCACTCCTTATTTAACCATTTCAGATCAGGAAGACATGGTTCCCGAGCCCGTTCCGCATGAGGACGACGAAGGGGATGCCTAGAGACTCTGTAGTCACACTCATAGTTTTATTTTCGAGTTTCTCTCTTAGTTAGTTTTAATCTTTTATATTTTAAGTACGTTTTTTGGGTTTCCGTGTAAAGGGATGTTAACCGAAATTTTGATCTCGCTTCCGCATTTAATATTTATAATATAATTTCCATGTTGAATTACCGGGGCTGTTACAGTAAATCACAAGTTCACATAATTTAGACACTTGAAAGAATAATATTTTACTTGTTCAAAGATTTCTACACAAGTTTCACAAAATAATCAGTTTATGTCATTACGTATACAGTTTTACTTTCTCCATCTATGAAAAATTAATTTGCACAGAATAAAAAATGGCCCCATACTAAATCTTCATGGAAGATGGCATAATTATCCATATTAACATCTTAAAATCCACCTCGCATGCGCTCTGAAAAATGGCACTCGATTGCACCGAGAAAGCACAGTTGCTATTACCTTGATTAAAATAAAAAGAAACGTGTAGAAATATTGCCATCTAACAAGAGATTTGAATAAAAGCCTTTACTACTCTTCCCTTGGTTTCATTCTTTCTTTCACTTACATATAAGGCAATTTCAATCCCCCAGAAACTCCGAGATACAAATCAGAGCCCACTTTAGAACTGGAGGAGACAGGAAAAAAAGAAAGAAAAAAAGAAAAAGAAAAAAGGAGACTGTACCTATCCAGCAAGGAAACTAAGAAAACAAAGCACATTTTTTCTTACAAAGATGTCATTCAGCTATGTACACTAATAGTGAACCGCGCTGCTCATGGGAATTTACAATTACCCGCCAGTACCATTTCCGAGTTGTGGCCTGGCAGAGGATTTGCTGGAGTATGAGAATACAGTATGTCACATCTTGAAACTACGTCTGTTTCTTAAGCTTCTTTCTGCAGATACACAAAGGGAATAATGTTTTTAGTTACGTCTGTACAAGGTAAAGCACAAAAGAAAAGAGACTTGGGGGGGATGGGGGAGAAATGGGAGCCATGGAAAAAGAAATTCTAAGATGAAAGAAGGGCACCTGAATGCCAGAGTCCCTGTGAAACAAGAAAAAAGAAACTAAATTATTGTGATGTGCACAAGAATCTGTGAAACCGGTCTACTTTAGCCTGATCATGGCAGCCTGATCCTATCTTTGATGTCTTTCCTCTTTTACTGCGAAAGAAGAAATCTTCTGTATCCAAGACGTACGATATCTGCCTCAGCCAAAAGAGAAGCCCACAGATAAACATGCAACAAACGTTTGAAATCAGTTAGCTACATATCAATACCAAATAAGAGCAACAACACAAACTAGACCTGATAATTTTTGAAGAAAGTTTAATGCGGAATGAGATCAGCATTTTTTTTTTAATGAACTTACTGGGGATTGACTCCCAGCAAAATTATTCCTTATATGCACACACACATATAAATATGAAACATGCTGCATTAATAGACTTCCATGACATGGAACAGTCGGGTGGTGATGAAATACAAATGAAGAAACATGAGTTCTAGTTGCAATAGTACAATATAACGTTTTGGGTAGACTTCTACTTCACTCCCACCAAATTTTACCCCTATTTTTAATTACCTTGACATATAGAATTAGGATGCTACCTTTATTCAAATCTATCATTTTCATTCTATTATCATTCATATCACATAAAAATGGAACTTTAAACCAAACCAATTTAAAAAGTAATATGAGAATCTGAAGCAGGAATTGAACCAAAAACAGCACAATGGTAGCTGTAATTGTAATCACCTTGTATGTGCTGCAAGATATCTTGCACTCCAAACCATTAACAACTTGAACACCTTCCATGGCCTTGTTAATAGCAGAAAATTCATCTAGGCCAGCATATTTTCGCTTGTTTCTGCATACACCAATTGAGAGCAACAACGCTTTAATTAATTGGAAACCATGGTGGAAAATCTTTTCTTCGTAATCAATTCTAAAAATTCTAGTAGGTTATTGAACTGCTTGCAATTGATAGAGCTGAAACCTCAGATCAGCTACCTTTTTAGAGAAGATTTCAGATAACTGTCCGACACCAGTGGAATCTTTTTTCTTCCAGGGTGTAAATTCGTACATATCAAGTAGTTTGATGTACAGATTTTAATGTGTTTCATTGGACACAAGCAAAATAAGAACAGATTGAGAAAATAAGTAGTGTATTCATTTTTAGCGCTTACATATTTCATATATACACGAATTTCTAAATGTAAATAAAGAAATTTTCCTTATAGTAGGAATTCTAAATAATTACAATATTACGAGAGAAATTAATGATAGAACTACATAAGAAAAATAATACGGTCATTTAGAAAATAAAATTTGTGTCAACACCCTCCCTCAAGTTGGTGCAAAAATATCGCACATGTCCAATTTGCATATGAAGTTTTGAAAAGTTTTATTGCAGAATCCTTTGGTGAAGATATCTACTATTTGATTGCTAAAAGATACATGATATAAACATAAGGAGCCATCAACCACTTTTTCTTTTATAAAG